ATTTTCAGTACAAATCGGCAATTTCATACTTTAACCCCTATTACTTAAGCAGTAAGCACATACATACTCCAATGTCATCTCTCACAATTATCTGTAAAGCATGACACGTGAAGAAGTAGTTAGTGCTCAATAGTTTCCATTAAAGATTTTTTAATACAGTTGCTCAAAACGTGGTATTTTTCGTACTACAAATCGTGCCGAAAATTGCTCACTAGTGCTTTTTACTTTCCATTTTTTTTAAATTTACTGTTGTTTCAAGTCTTAAACATAGAACTAAAGAGGTTGTATATTTATTTAATATTTATGTGCTTTGTGACGTAAGTCATTTGTCATTAAAACTTATATTTACTTACAAACATCTTATTTGTTGAAATTGCACAGGTGTTTTATAAAACATTGGGTTACATTTAAAAATACCAAAATATTTTCCATAATGATAGCTGATTGAGTATTAACAATGACCGGAGGTGAGTATTACGCGAGACCGCTGTTGCGCGCCGCGCCACTAAAATAGTAATTTTAGGGTCGTATTCTAGAACTCTACTCAATGCTCAATTCATGATTTGAGTATGGTTTAAAGCACTCGAAATCATACTCAAGTCCCTGCCATTAGGGTCGTATTTCCAGTGCTTGTGTTGCCAGTGCAATCCTGACTTGAGCATTGAATAGAGTTCTAGAATACGACCCTTAATGTGGCTGAATACTGGCAACAGTTGCCATTGTACACTGAATTTTTATCAGACTAAGAAATAAAATGAGTTTTTTATTTTCTTTTTTGTTTTATTTCACTTTCAATGTAGTTTATTCGCAAATGTATTAAAAAACGTCGTTTGATGCACGTGCGGATTTGTCATTTTCACTTGTTTCGAGGCTTCTTGGCCCGAGGCAGAGGCAAAGCTAGACTCGTGAATAATGACTAATTTTCCGCACTTGTATCAAAAATAACTATTTCCTATGTCGTTTAGATACGAAACAACCAGCCAATGACGAGATTTCTAAAAAAATGTTTTTGGTAACAAAGAAAACCTTATAAGTTTGCGGTCAACTCCCTCATTCGGTATAATTTGACGAATTAATGAATGATATTTATTTGTACACAATACGGTTTTGCAAAAGGTTGTAGACACACTATGACGTCATCAAACTAAGAAAATCAGCATGCAAATTCATGTTTTATAAATTTTGTAAAGTAAATTATTCTACGGCAATTCCAATAGTATTAAGAGAGATTAATTGCCCATGTCAGTAAGTGATAGTCATGTAGAGGAAGCTTCACACGTATTTACGCGGTGTCGGTTTGGGCCGATTGGAAAAAACTATGTCCAAGCAATAAGAGCGAAAAAGCTTTGGAGAGCTTTGTAGGGTTTGTAGTCATTGTGAAATAGGTCGTCTAGCGAAGTACTGCCACGTTACCCATTAGGTACTGCCGCCAAGAAGCATTATTGCGTTCCGGTTTTAAAAAGTAAGCGTGTTGGTGAAATTACAGATACTATGGGACTTATTAATTTATGTCTCAGGGTGACGGGCGCAGTGGCAGTGCGATTTAAAGCTATCAGTGGCACTGCAACATTATGGATAGACATGTCGCTTAGGTACTACCTGGCGCGTCATTTAGTGCCATAAAAAAAGAAAGAAAAGAACGTTTCCAGTTTCGTTTCTGTTCTCTGTCCGGTCCTATACGCGCGCGTGACGAGACGCGCGGGCGACACGGCCTAGTATGACGTCACGGCGAGCGGCAGCAGCGCAGCGGCAATAGCGTTATCGACAGCCAACAGTGACAAACCAAGCTGTATGATTGAGACGGCGAATATACCAGTCATCGTGAAGACACTGACTTCAAAAAAAGGAGGAGGTTCTAAATTTGACTGTAATATGTTTTTTTGTATGTATGTATTGATGTATACATATTGATGATCGTCTTTTTGTTGGAAAGAGGGTACCTCAACAGTGGTTTCATTTAATTTTGAAGAAAATATTCCACCTCTAAAGGTTCACGCATGAAGACATTATTATAAATAGCGCCTAAAATTTTATAAGGAGCAATTAATTTAATGGATGATTTTGCTATGAACCAATTGAAGGCGTTTTTCTCTCGATATACTTTTAGTAGTAAACATCGATTTTTATTATCTCCAGTGTTAAGATAAAATGGCGAACTAGGTGATGAATCCGGTTTTACGCACTTTCCGGTAACTGATTTCAATAAAACTTGGTAAATAGATGTAATTCCACGAATTTTTGAGGTCGGTTTGTTTAGTACTCAGTACTGAGAGTATTACTTCATATGTTTAAAGCAAAATTTGTCCTCTTCTAGTTCTTTGAAGTCTTCACACTTCAAACCGGGGAGCATGTCGCCCTATACGCGCTCGGGATGAGACGCGTGGGCGACACGGCCTAGCATGACGTCGAGCTGCAGTGGCGCAGCGGCAATGGCCTTATCGGCGGAGACTTGAGACGGCGAATATACCAGTCCTTTTGTTAATACAGTCCACTTTTATTTCCTAACAGTTTCCGCACGGCCCGCGCGTTCAAAACGTACATGTCTTTTTCGCTCATAATAAATGGATATAAAGCTTTTTCTGATCGACTTAATGCTATTCTGTGTCGATAAGTGTGTTAGTAGCGCCTCTATGAAAAAGTAAAAATTAAGATAATATAGCGACTAAATTTCTTCCATTGGTTAAATTTTTAGAGGAGAGTTTAGAATGAATAAGTCTTTGACGAAGTTTTTGTTCCTTATGCCATAATATCAGGTGTAAATAAATATTTATCTATTATTTATATCCTCACACACGAAACCCCGTATTGTTTCTGGATGTTACTTATTTGCAACAGTGCTGACAAGGGCTGACAACTACTTGAAAAAGTATGGTATGTAAAAAAGCCAGCAATTCAAAACGTACTTACTAGTGACCTCGGACATGTTGCCCTGTCTCCCAATGTCGAGATAATAATATTCATAATAATAATCATTATGTCTTCTTAACTGGTTACTACGAGCTTCCTTTGTAATTTTATCTATATCGTTTCGATAAACGTCCAAGTTTATTGGTTCATATGTTTTAGTGACGCCGCCAACCTGAAGTAAGTCATATATCTGAAACGAGAAATCAGAATTAATACGATGTGTTTTGCTCTTAGACTATGGAAACCAAAGGACATGTTATATTGACATACATAAATCAGACCTTATATGTATACGATGCATTTAGACGTTGAAAACATAAACATTTTATTGTCTTTGTTTAACTACTGCGTGCCGTCGTAAGCCAAAAGAGATAGCACTACATTGATTTATGTCAAACAAGGGAATCGAAAATACGTAACGTCATCTTAAATGCCAACTGTCTATATTTTACCATTTTTGGCATTGACTTACAAATAAATGGACGACGGGTCTAATACAAAAACCACGAAAAAAATGTCCCAAGTCAACCTATTCGAAATTGAAATTGTAATGTCATCGCAGTATCGCGCTGTCAGTAGAACAAATGAAGACTAAAGCGGAGTGTCGCGCTCTGTATACGATTTTAGCGCCTTACAAGTGCGGACACTTTTTAGCGCGGACCCGACGTCCATATAATTGTAAGTCAATGATTTTTGGAGTACCCTTTGATAACCGTTTCCGGTTGTCAAAGGGAAGTACATCAAATGTCAAAACCAATGTTTAGCCAAATGTTTTATTGAATTATTCGCATGAATTGTAATGAAATGGATAAAAATATTGACAGCGAGAACAATTAAGTATTGATTAAAATGCGTCGCTGCAGCGTTAAGGGGTGCGGCAGTAGAAAATCGGAAATCGACCGAATGTTACATTACACCGGCATGCCTATAACTCATACAATAGCCCAAATATCACATCTAATTAGACTCATTTAATAAGTCTTGCCGAATTTTGCTTTGGTTACTTTAGATTGCCTGTTTGTTAGTATATTTTGATGATTGTTGATAACGATTATTTTGAGATAGTGTTCTTCTAGAAAGCAGACATATTATCGATATTCTGTTATTAAAACAATTCACTACGAGGTTTTTATTATTATATTATTATTATTTTTAAAGTTTACCTACAAATGGAAAAAGAAAGAAAGAATGGTTGGAAATTATAGGACTGCCGAACATAAACATTGGGTCAAATACCATCTTCGTTTGTTCGCTCCATTTTGAAGTCAAATTTTAATAGAACTTTGAATGTAACTAGATTACATTATAATGCAATTCCATCGCTACATTTATTAACTTTATATTCAATTTTGATTAAAATTGCTCATTACTTGCCTGGTAAAAATAGCCTAGTATTAATTATACTTTGATTACAGTATACTATACAAATTTGTAAACATAAAAAACAGTTTCAACATTCAAGCCATACATTTGCATCTCGATATTGACTTATCTATGATTATGGTGAAATCAGAGCAAGGTTTAACGACACCATTCTTAACGAAAAAAACGCTTACATGGTACTAGAGTACAGGCAGCTTTGTTTTGTACGAGTTTATATTTAGAATCGTATAAAGAATAGAAGGTGGTTGTCAAAAGGACAAAATGGGAGTTCTGGACAAAGCTTTCAAATTGAATATACGTAGTAAATCTTTATTCATGAATATAATCCTCGTTTCCCATTGAAAAGTGCCCCTCGCTACGCTAACCCACAGCTACCCATTACAGTACCCATTTTGGCCGAAGGGTGTTGTATATCGGCGTTTCCGCGGCCGGTTACCTGACACCAGATTGCGCCACACGTTGCCGAGAAGTGCAATTCGTGTACATTAGTTACACCAGCCCGTTACACCAAGTACCAAGTATATCATATGTATGTTTGTTCTTAAGTTAAGTATATACTATGTGGGCTATAAATTACCTGATTCAAATAACTAAAAAAAAATAAATTTCGAGTTCTTAGCTTTTCGCGATTCTTACACATGTTAAATGAAACTATTTTTCCGGATTTAAATCGCGTAGGTATATTTGTTTTTTTTTTGTCAAACAAACCAACGTTTCGGGCCCTTTACATGGTCACCGCGACCATGGGACCTGTAAAGGTCCCGAAATGTTGGTTTGTTTGAAAAAACAAATATACGCGTTTTATATCCGGAAAATTAGTTTCATTTACTAAAAAAAAAATTATTAATATGGAGAAAGAATGTACTATTTCCTCAGAATCAGAAATGCTGATCATTGTACTTAAATTTGATGGAGATTATGAAATTAATTTAAAAATGGATTATTTAAGTGATAAATGCCTTTGGAAAGGAGGAAGACCTTGTCCAAGATTGGGGTCCGAGACCTATAAAATCGGATAACTGAGTTCCGATGGAGATGCGCAGTACATATTTCGAGGCCAGATGTGTAAACAACATTGTATACAAGTCGCAGGCTGGGTGCAAGTAGCACAGGATTGTGGTGAATGGCACAAAGTAAGCGGTCATCCCGGTTATCAAAATAGCCCAACATATCGGGCTATCATGACGTTGTTGAAAAGCACAATCTGAAATTATGTAGCCACGATACATACCGTTTTGTTTTGTCCACTGTGCAAGTACAATACCTTAAGCGGTGCTTGACAGAAATCGCTTATGATCATCGCAATGCATAGTAGAAATGTTGCCATAATCCAACATAAAAGAAACCCAGCTAAATTGAATATCTGAAAAAAATGTACACACACAACATAAAAATATCTTAAATTAATCACATATTTTTACAAGTGAGGACCAGCGCACGACACAAATACGTTATTTGCCTATAGTAATGTTTGATGTTACCTTTTTTCATGAGTTTCGAGAATTCTCGTACCCGATATTTAATTCGAATTTTTCGAGAATTTTTAAAAAATCTTAAAAAATTAGTTTCGTTAACTATATAAATTCAATTTACATGACCTTTTCTAAAGTAGTTTTGGCCTGAATGTTCTGGGTAGTGCCCCGGAGTGAACTTCGTGGCTCTTGTTCCCGGGTTCGATGCCCGGCAGGACCAATGTGGGAAATGAATTTCGGCGACCCTAAGGTGGACGATCAAAAATACGCTATTACATTAGTTGCTATTACATTCATGCAATTACACTTCCAAGTCGACTGAAGGCATCCGGTCTGTACTAAATGCAAAAGGCAACTCAATAAAACCCGACGACAGCCGAAACACGAAGATTGCCGAGAGACATTGAGACCATAGAAGCATGTAGTATGTATTAATTTATTATGTGCAAGAATTATCTATCAATATGTAGGATCAAATAATCTTTATTTCACAGGTAACTAAGCACATTACATTTTGAAATCGTCATATTGATTAAACTCTATTGCTCATTCGTAAGGCAGGTTCACCCGAAAAGAATGAGTAAGAAACTTAAGGGGTTGCTCTTTGCCACAGATGCTATTTATTTAGATTTTTGTAAATAAATGTGCTTTTTGTAAATAAATATTTGTACACATATATTATTCACAATATTTATGTCAATTATCCATTGATCGACAAAACCTGCAAGAACTAAGCGCAGGTCACTATTACGGATTATTGTTATCCAAGTACTTAGAAACTGTATGATAAGTTTTAGTGTGAAGTACTGGTTTCTTTATAGTATTAAGGCTTGTAAATTGCATATTTTGGATATCAACCGGAAATTTTATTATAGAAGCGCGAATACTTGGCCCATTAAATGAATTTGTGACTCTGTGAAGACGATTGTCAAGAACAGCCAGTTAATTTTAATTCTCGTATGCATCATAAGTTTGAAATTAAATTCTATTTTTTGAAGACGAAGTAAAATGACATATGTAGGGTTGCCAGTTTTCATAAAATTTGAAATAGTTATGTACCTAGTTGTTAACGATAATTTTATCGATAGAATGTGAAAGAATATAAATTATTTTGCCAAAATAACTAAATTATGAATGTTATGACGTTCAAATGATTACTGATATGCGTTATTGCTTTCTTTATTCTTATTCTGACAGTCGGCCTTTTAGTATCGAGATCAATTTTTATTCGAATACGTTATAACAAGAATATAAGGATTTCATTATATGTATATATATTGAATTAAAATGAAAAACTTTAAACTTTGTCTCCTTTTTACATTTTTCATAAACTTAGTTCTAAATGTATACAGTGTATATGTAGGAACTTACAAAAATTGACAATTCACATGAACTTGTGCTCAGTAATTGCAGGAATAATGGGTCGAGGATGATCCAAATGAAATAAAGTTCGGTTATTTACTCTATAAGCGTTCAGTCGAAAGTCGAGAGAATATTTATCGACTGCAATGACTAGCTGCTCGCAAGCGGGCAACACTTTTGCGCAATGAACTGTCATTTTACTTCGTCTTATGATTTTATTTCACGGGCCTGAATAATGAAACAACCTATTTAAAATATAAAGATATAAATAAAATGTTTACCTACACTGCACATTAAGAAATTAGATATTTGTACATAGATAAATCAGAGAACTTACGCCAAGAAAGGTAAGGCCAAGGCGATCAGTTTGAAAAAAACCAGTCATGATGATCAATGCGCATATAATGGTAAGCACGTACCATATTCCTCTCTTACACCATTCTATGATCCAATACAGGGCGACATCACACGGAATTTTTTCCTGGAATGAAGTAATTCGCGGTAAATAACACTGATTGAAAACGCCAAATGAATTGACTTAGGACTTCTTTACATAGGAAGTTTAACTGTGACCACAGAGGGGTATTCGAAAAATATATATTTAGTGTAAAACTCATTTACACTTGTTTGACAGACATGCGCAAAATAGTGCCTCGAAAGCGAAGCCCAGAGAAATGTATTTGTCAATGATTCACAACCAATCGTTAAACGATTTTGGCTGCAAATGAATGCCTATTAGACTATTGCTAATTTACAGCGTCTTCACACGATCAAGAACGTGATAGACCGAGGCTGCCTGAGGGGATCATTGAAGAAATTTTCAATGTTTTGGGACTTTTAGAGTCCCAAAGCAAGTACTTACGTGAGATACCGCACAATAGAATGTCTTATGCAATATTAGTTAGCACTCGATTAATAACGCATTTCCATTACAAGAGAACAATAAAGATTTGACGGTTCTCAACCCGTGAAAATGTGACGCTTAAATTTGCGTGTTAATTATGTTTAGTATCAATGAAATACAGGCGCGAGTGCAAGTGGTACGCGGTGCGAACGCTAGCTAGCGGTGGCTTGCACCAGAGCTCGGTCACTTGCTCGAGGTTACGCGTTAAGTGCCTACAGCTGAGTGTATCGCCAATAGTGCAAGCGTTAACACAAGTCGTTCATGCTCATTACAATTTTTTTTAATAACATCAAGTGACTGGACGAACTAGTCGTGCGCCTGATGGTAAGCTACTCGCCCGTTTATAACAGTTACAGAGCCACTCAGAGCTTTAAATCGCAAATATCTGAGGGGCACTACCATTACGCCCGTCACCCTGAGACATAAGTTGACAAGTCCCATGTGCCTGTAATTTCATCAGCATCCTTACCCTTCAAAACCGGAACACAGTAATATTTATTTATTTATTTAACTTCTTGTCGGAGAACTGAAAGACATACAATCACTTAGAAAATTAAATAAATAATCGAATTCTGATGATGAGTTCCCACATATAAAAATTAACAAAAACAGCTGATGCTACAACTATCATATCTGATGCTACATACATTCAAAGATTTTTAAAGTTAAACGCCGTTTCGCTGCAGCTATACCAGTACAAAACAGATCAAGATCACAGTCCACACACCATTTATTAAACGCAGAGGAGGCTCGCAATACAAAGGAATTTTGTCTGTAATTGGTTCTAACCAAAGGTATATTCAGCAATGGTCGTTCACGGAGGCTTTTTGTATTAGTACGGAGCTGTATTTTATTAAGTAAATCCGGACAGTCTATAGAGCCACGAGCAGCGCTCATTAGGTAAGAAATATCACTTATTGTACGTCGGTGTTCTAATGGAAGGAAATGATATCGTTTGCATCGGTTGATATAACCTAATGTCCAAACTTGAGCTTTATAATCTAAGAAACGCAAAAATTTCCTTTGGATATTCTCTATACGATTAATGTAAACTTTATAGTTGGGGTTCCAAACGTGACTCGCGTATTCCAGATGACTTCGTACAAAAGCACAGTAAAGAATTTTTATTGTTTTTAAGTTTTTAAAATTTAGAGATGTCCTCATAATGAAGCCTAATGCTTTGGAAGCCCTATTGATTATGCTTTCAATGTGGTCATCAAACAGAAGTTTATGATCATGCATTACCCCTAAGTCACGGATTCGATTTACCTTCTTAATAGGGCTTCCAAGTAGATAGTAAGTATTATTAAGTACACTCGGCGTCAAAAAAAATCGCACCTTTCCTAAAATTCGTGTCAAGCGATTATAACTCCTAAAATCCTTCCTGTACCCTATCATTATTAGTATCATTTGAAAGCTAATGAAATCTCCTATTTGAAAACGGTAGGAAATTGACCACCACCCCCATAAAAAAAGAAAATTTTGAGAAAATGTGAAACAATGGGTATTGTGATCAAAATTACTCAAACAAACAAATCAAAACAAACAACAATACAAAAATTACAAATCAACAATAACAATCCTAAAACCTAGTGTTCCCTCCTCTAGCCCTCCGAGCAGCTTCCATGCGGTCAGTCATGGACCTGATGAGCGTCACGACGTGTTCCTGGGGAATGTTGTCCCACTCCTCGATGACGGCATCTCGAAGCTCATCGAGAGTGGCAGGAGCTGGATCGCGGGCCCGAACTCGCCGTTTCAGCTCGTCCCAGAGGTGCTCGATAGGGTTGAGGTCGGGGCTTCTTGCTGGCCAGTCCATAACCTTGATGCCAACTCGACGTAGGTAGTCCTTGACAATCAAGGCTGTGTGGCATGGGGCGTTGTCGTGCATGAACTCGAAGTTGGCGCCGACAAAGCCAGCATATGGGAGCACGTGCTCCTCTAAAATCTCGGTGATGTACCGGTGAGCAGTCAGAGACCCCTGGCCACGACCACCTCCAGTTCTGGAGACGCACACGAGGTCAGGCTTGCCGTCGATAGAGATGCCGCCCCAGAACATGCAGGATCCTCCTCCACAGGCGACGGTTTCCACGGTGCAGGCTGGTGTGAAACGCTCCCCTGGTCGCCTGTAGACTCTCCTACGCCTGTCGTTGGTGTACAGGCACACTCGGGTCTCGTCGGAGAACAGGACATTCCTCCACTGGTCGAATGTCCATGGCACGTGCGTTTGGGAAAATTGCCTCCTGGCCGTCCGGTTGATGGCAGTCAACTGGGGGCCTGTAGCAGCTCTCCGGGGCAGCAAACTCCTCTCTCGCAGCCTTCTTCGGATAGTGGAGACGCTGACAGCTGTCCTTCGAGTAGCTCGAAGCTGCTGCTGCAGCTCCACAGCGTTGGAGAAGCGGTTCCGCAAAGACGTCGACACAATGTAGCGATCATCTCTGATGGTAGTGCAGCGACGTCTCCCGGATCCATGTCTCCTGATGTAACCTCCAGTCTCTTGGAACCGTCGGTATACCCGTTGCACTCGAAATCGGCTGATGTTCAGTTGCCGAGCAACTTCAACCTGCCGTAGTCCGGTTTGCAGTAGGGCAACCACTTGAGCTGCTTCTTCTGCCGTGGTATCCATTTTCACTGGGTTTTTTCTTCTCGGAGCTCTTCAGGTGTGACTTCTGGAACGTCTGGATAGCGAATGACCCATAATTGACTTTTACCCCCCCTTTTATACGCGTCCAGGGTGGTGCAATTATTGAGCCTACAAACGCGTAAATCCCCACTTTTTAATCAAAGTGCTGGCGATTTGTGGTTTTTGATTTTCCGTAAACAAATTATTGTTTTTTTGAAAGCTTATTAATTGAGCTTTTAAATGATACTAATATCGATAGTGTAAAGTAAAGATCTTAAGAGTTATAATCGCTTGACATGAATTTTAGGAAAGGTGCGATTTTTTTGACGCCGAGTGTATGTTGGTTTTTCTGGAAAAAGTCATAGTCAGACATTTAGAAACATTTAGGCCCAGCTTATTAATTGTACAATATTTTTCGAATCTAAATAAGTCTTCTTGCAGTTTATTTGCATCATATAGAGAAGTAACCTATTTTAAAATTTTCATATCATCTGCGAATAACAATATTTTAGAATTTTCAAAGCAAGTTTCAATATCGTTAATAAATATAACGAATAATAGTGGGCCCAGAATCGACCCATGCGGCACTCCAGACGGTATATTCCTCCAACAAGAGGTATATCCCGAGAGTACAACAGCTTGGGAGCGATTCTCAATATATGAAGCAAACCATCTATATAAGTCACCGTGGATAC